GTCTGCCACGCCACCACCGCCCCCGCCGCCGGTGGCAGGGAAATAAGAATGATGGTGGGCAGTATGATCCAGCCTAGATACTCCCGCTTCTTGACTCGGACGTCATCCATGAACGCTTGATTGCCACGCTGCCACGCTCCCGACTCCTCGAGCCATTCCCTTTTATTAACACCGCGGCGCCACATAAACACTGGCTGGAATATACCGTCGTAGACCGGAGGGAATACCTTTCTTAATAGTGGCCTGCGAGTCGGAGGTGGCCGCCCGATGAGCATGGTGACCGGACTAGGGTTGTTGCTGGCAAGAAGGAACCCATTGACGATTGCGACATGCACGATAATCATCCACTCGACGCCAAAAGCCAGCGAGATGGCGGCATCTTGGTTACTCTTATCGTTGAGGAGGTCCAGGATGGTGTAGAGAAAGGCGCCGAGGTAGAAAACGATCGCCGCCCCGACGATGGCGCCGAAAGCCGACTGCGCCGTCATGAGCCTCTTGAGCTGCTCGGCCATGCTCGGATAGTTCTGGTTCGCCTCATTCCAGGCGAGCATCTGGACTCTGTCGCCTTGAGCCTCCTCAACCTCAGGACCTTCTGGTGCGAGGAAGTCTGGAGGTATCTGCGGACGAGGCGGTGTCGCGGCCGTGGACCGACGTCTCCGTGTAGCCAGTAGCGCATCAGAAATCAACACAATCAGGTTGCCGCGGTAAGGCTCGAGCTGAAGGTTCCCAGCCAGGACGGTCACCAGAAGCTCTACCTTATGCCTCAAGGCACCTAGGCCTTGGTCATTGGGCTTAATTTCACCCGCCACGTTATTCCTGGCCACGTTTTCGCCCAAAGGGACCAGAGCGATTTCGCCAGGCACATTCTGCTCACCGGCGACTCTCCCCGGAATGTAAGTCCTCCCCTCCAACGCCTTTAGAATCTTGAAGTCGAGCAGTGCTTCGTGCAGCCCGGCGACCATCATCGGGCCCGCCATGCTCATGATAGCCATAACCCATATAATGGCGTCGGCAGTAACAAACAGCAGTGCCGGTATCGTCATTAGCAGCGACAATACGGCTCGTTTCCAACCATGTCGATTCCTCAAGACCAAATCTTCCAGCCATCGCGACGAAATGAATTCGAAGCGCCTGGGGATGTTCATGCTGAAGATGACGGATGGAAGGAGGAACTGGACAATTGACCCAGCCCACTGGTCCAGGTTGTCAGCGCCGGAGATGCCCCAGCCGCTGCATTCGCTCTTGCAGAAATTATAAGTGACGTAGGCGTCAGGTGCGGCCGAATAAGATTCATTGTAGCTCTGCCCGCAGACGATGTTATTCATGAGAGTGGCAATGCCATTGTTGGGAGAGACAAAAGCGTTTTTCTCGCGGGCTCTATTGCAACACGCCTTATCACTATAACTCGAAGCTACTGTAGCAAGTCGAGCGTAGATAAGGAGTGTCAGGAGATAAGATACTGCTCGGGGCCGCATCGTATCGGCTGCAGTTGGATCTGAAGTCGGGAATAATACAGGCCTGAACCGACAGACTAAATTGGGAAACGAAACGTCAAGTTTATTCTGATTAGCAGTAAGAACTGGCTTACTAACGAGGGGCGGAAGAGAACAGAGCCAAAGTTATAGAGAGGTCAAGAATACCACGAGCGCAGTCAACTCCGAAGTCGAATAGGTTAAGCAGATCAACATGAGTGAGACCATTCTATTTGTACTTTGAACGGACTTAAGATGACTTGGGTTTCGGGCACATGTGTTTTGAGTTGTCTTGTCTCACCCTACGCACTACGTTCAGGCTCTACAGCCGCCGAATGTCCGGCGTCGCTGGGTGCAGGTGTAAGAAAAGAGATCTCATTTGACGCACAGGGCAAGTTGCGCAGCACACCGCCTTCTCTGAATCAGGTTGCTTTAAGTCTGCCTTACCAGTGCGTAGCATCTGAACTCAGAGTGAAGCTTCATGGGCCCCGTTGTGTCCGGGGCGTAACGAGGAGACATCACCGTGGGATTCTGTGTTTATCTCGGGCCGTATATGCAGAGCCCTAGGCGGCGCAGCGAGTGGACGTGGTGGCACAACTTGTTTCTTATCCGCTTGTGTTTCTTTTTCAACCATACTAAAATGGCGGGGCTGGCAAAACAAGCCGCACAAAACTATGTCTTGGCAATCCGTTAGGCTAGCGACCCAAGGTTGATGTTTGGAGAAATCATAGACGAGCTTGTGAACATGGAAAGCAAAGGTACCCAAAACACAGCATCGTTCCTACTGGTTCACTTTGGATCCTTTCGGCCAACTGGCTAGGCCTCTCATCGACATCGCAAGGATCAGAGCCTTGAAGTCCGCCTCAGTTGGGTCTTTGATGCACTGAGTCAAGACCCATGGGCAATGCGAATCCATATCATGCTTCAAGATCATCAACGGGGAAAGCAGGTGGAGACGAAAGCGGGGAAATTTGAGGCTCAAAATGGGGCGGCGGCAGGCCTCATAGGACGGGGAGCTTGGAGCTGATGGAGCTTGCTTGCTGTTTCACGCTAAGTCATGGTTCGGATGTGCCGGGTCAGGCCAAGGCAGATACCGAAGTCTACATAGGATCCAATCTTACATGCGTTAGGACTTATTAGCTAACGAAGAACTTCCTGGCCTGCGATATGTGTCCTTCTCGACTCCCACTGGAATGGCGCGCAGGCGCCGCGGGTCCCAGAGTAATTTGATTGGCTAGCCAACACATCAACTGATACCAATTATGCTGACGGCACGAGACCTTTAGGTGAAGTCATACGTTAACTACGACAAAGGTAACTAAGTTGACTATATTGAGGAATAAAGTGACTCTTGAGTCCTCATGTCCTCTTCGGCTTGCCTCAAAATATCACGTGTATAGTCCCACCTTTGCGTGTTACTACCTTTGCACTGGATAGAAATAAGCTAGAAAGGTGGCTACCCATGATATAGCTCAAGGGTACCAGCCACGATATTAAGGCATGCGGAAAGAAACACAGTACATTTGCGATATAGTTTCGAGTACAGTGGCTTATAGAGCTGTGATATGGAGCGGCCCAAATTTGGACCCTCTTGCAGCTGTCCCAGAAATGGGACCGTCAGAGCAATAAGTTAAAGATCGATTGTGCTGTAATCGCCTGCAGGACTCTGCCGTGTTGGAAGTGGAAGGTGCAAGGCAAAGCAGGTGAGGAAAGAGGTAAGAACAGGCTGGCACGGTTTGACTTTACGTGTGCACGGCCAGTTGTCAGATCCCGCCGGGCGGGTAGCTTACCCTGGCCCACAAGACGGTTTCAAGGAGGTTGTGCCAAAGATGGAGCACTAGTCCAAAGCTTTGATCAAATTTTGGTCTCGACTTGTAGGTATCACAGTGTTGAGCACTTGCACCTTCCTCCGACAATAACCCTTGTTGATTAAAAAGAAAAGGTCCCATTTATCGCCATAAGTATATATGCACACTGTGTACACTTTTGTACACGACGAATAGCCCGCAAGTTAATGTACTTACCTGACAAAGTCCAGTGGCAGTACTTACGACTCGTACTGTCAGCTTGTCTCCACTTCTCCAGATTCGTGGCCCAAACCTCCAGGCAGCAGCGGTACTTCTAAGTACTTCATTCGCTCAGCCAGAAATTGCTTACGCACCCATAAGGCGGCCAAGTTCTCACAAAACGTCAGCATATGAGGTAGAGCCATGTACCGCTATGACCCCACCCTTGACTTTATAAAGAGCATGTTGTATTGGAGCGGAAGGTGCAAGTGTTCAACACTATAGAAGCAAGTACTTCAATTTCAAGAGTCTTAATAGCCCTTAAATGGCAGCCAATAATATGGGACGGTGGCTGGGGGGCATAATGTAGGACTACGCTGCGAAACGCCTCCTGGGCAATTCGATAAGGATTAGCGTTTATATCTCTCGACCACGGAAGTTCCCGTGTGGGAACCGCTACAAGGGGCGTCGACACAGGGGTTGCAGAAATTAAGATCAGCCTTTAAGAACTATAACTAATTTAAATCATGCCCCAGGCTTACGCCGTCGGTGCCGGCACGGGTAAGGCTGGCTGTCCCAACAGACTGGGTCAACTTTGGGCGGGAGCCGGGGGATCCAGGAATTTGGGCTGGGTTGAGGGCGGAGTACTGCGCCCGCCCACTCAGGTAAAGCCGAGGGGGTTCAATTGAAACTTACGCCCACATTCCACCTCCCCGTTCAGGATCGAGACTTGGCCAGGCGAAGCTGAGCACCTCGACGACCTGCTGATTTTCTCCCACATTTGAAGGTACTCTGTAGAGAAATACGCCTTTGAATGCGAATTGTCGCGCGGTTGCGGCCTTGCGCGCCACTCGCTTATCAGCACGTTATCAATTTTTTAATTCTTTTTAAGGAAAGAGAAGAGAGGAACAAAAAGGGGGGTGGGGGTTGTTTGGGGTTCTGCAACCTTCAACGTTGAGGCTGGTCGATGCGAGCCACTATGCTCTTTCGGTTCACTGAGGGTGAGTTTGCAACTTCCGCCGCGGAGATTGAACAATTCTGGCGTCAAGGTCTCGTGTCCTTCAATCACTATGCCTGTGCCCAACACAGCCGTCGCCGGCACTGCCACTCATGTTTCTTCAACCCGACCGCTCCGCCCGCCGATTCTGCCCTCAACAGTGCATACTGACCATTCCAGTCGTGTATTGGCTTGCTTCGTGCCATGGTTCGTTGCTTCACCTACACTCACGCCGTCTACCTGCTAGTTCCCCAGGAAGTATTGCGACAAGCCTGGTAGAGTCATCCCACTTCCTCGTGGAACTTGCTAGAGTCTTAAGCACGTGACCCAACAACCCTACAAGTGGGGAGACGGGAATCTCGAGACGTTAGTCCGAAAAATCTCGGCCGACAATTTTCGGCTAGGACACAATGGATTTCATTTTGACTCCACAGTAGCTCAAGCAGCGATTTGCTCAAAGACAGGGAAGCAGTGGCTGTGATGTTCTCTGTGAGATGCCAGTCCCAGTCCCTGAGGCATCGTGCAATGCAACATAGCCAAAGCCTTGCGACACCAAATCCGGAACTCGCGATCAACGTCCATGTGGTCGAATATTTTGTTCAAGAGACAACGAAACCTTTGTCGACATACACAACTACTACGATTTTTGCAGACATAAGGCCAGCCCTAACCCAGGCAGAAGCAGATTCGAACAAACGGGCCGTCCCGGCAAGCTTGCCGCAGCTGCGAGATCTGAGCAGACCCGGCCAACTGGGCCCAGCCAACCCCAGCCCCACCCTCAGCCACAGACCAACCAGCCCAAGGCCCGAACCAGAACTCAACCCACAGAAAGACATCCGCATCCTCATTCAAGTCCGCAACAACTGTGTGCCACCTATCCGGCCAGATCCCACTAGATATGCTGCCTTAGAGATTGTTACTTTTCTGGTGGAAAGCCTAGCTCTTTAAGAATATTCTCCATCCTCTTCCTCGACTCATCAACTGAGAGAGACTTCCAGAAGCCGGGTGGGGCTCGTTGGTGCGGAGGATGCTCCCAGAACCAGCAGACGGAAATACTGGGGTCATTCGGTACGGAGACAATTCGTCTGGAACTAGAAGGATGAGGCAAGGGTCAGCAGGATGCGAGATATTGATGTGAAGGGCAAGAGGAACTTTGAAAGAAGTGAAAGGCTTGAAAGGAGTCGGTTCACCTAAGCGGAGGTTTAGCCACATTTCGGGCTGATAATGGAGACATAGTAGAGGTTGAGTGTGGCATCCCCTAAATCTGCCCTTATTAATGGATAGGGCAGGACTGGAGCGGGAGGTATGACGCTGAAAAAGGTGATGGATAGCTTTGGGAGGCTGAGGGATTGCAGGAGAAGCACGACCCAACTTATACCTGCAGTTTGATCACGAAAACGAAGACGGGGACGGTTTTGGAGTGTTGAAGGTTATGTTTGACTCCCGCTGTGAGAATTCTAAGGCTGAGCAAGTTGAATGAGCAGGCCATCTTAGGTCTACTGAGTTGGTATCTGCTGGAACCACTTGCGTACCAGTTGAATTCCGGCATTGCATGGTCGTAGCTAGTCAGTTGCCGCAGTGGACGCCCATACCTACTGCGTACACACTAACAGTGTGTGCGGGCGGCAATGTGTGCTCTGTTAATGATGTACCTTTCAAATTGACTGACGGTTTAGCTGTCCAAATGCACTCTGGAAGTAGCTCTGAATTGGGATCCCCTGGTGAGCCCCGAGTCAGGTTGCTGCATAATTTTTGAGTGGGATACCCATGCGCGGCTGGCTCTTTTTCATGAGGGGTCATCCAAAATGGCGCTTGATTGGTTAAGCCCTTAATTGACACTATCCCTGCAGGCGGTTCTTCCACGCCAGCCAGTGATGCTTATCTCCACGCTGCTCCACGTTGCACGGAAAATTCTACAGGCATGCAAGTATTGGCGGGGCAAGCTCCGACCCTATAATTTAACCGGGTATCCTTCTCAAAAAGATGGCCATATACCCCGATAGTGGACTTAGAATCGTAATTTCATTTCACGGGAGACCTGGCCTCGGTGAACCGCCGCACTGACTCTTTACATCTTCTTCCATGCAACCGCTCAAGCAGATCAACTGGAGTTGGTCTGATACTTTGCGTGCTTCTGTCACTCCTATCTTGTTTGAGGCTCTTGATCCTTGTGTTCCTAGGGGTGAATTGGTTGTTGAAGTATAAGCCTCAACAGTCTTCTGGGGGTAACACATTTTTGTTTCATCATTGGCAAACGAGGCTCTGCATGCAGGTGGTGTCGATTGGAATAAAGCCAATTTAGCTTCAACAAAGACGACGTGGCTCCCCGTCAGCAACTGGGATCGGTACAATGGAGCAGTCGCAGGCGGCGCACCGCGCCGTCCTCGTTTGCGGCTCTCGTCGTGCTCTGGCTCAAAAATCCGCTGTATTGAGCGCATTGAACGATGCAGATTTGGCTCCCTCGCCATCCAACGAACAGGAACATATAACCGAGTCAGTGGTGGGTGGTTGAGAGCAGTGCAACTGTCCCTGGGCTATTCCATTAGGCTGATTTGAGGCGCGTCCTCAACATACATCTGTCCTAGAGAGGACGGAAAAAAGGACCCTGAAACATGCGAGGCAGGTTGCGCCCGCCTTCGAAATGCCTAGCCGCCCCGACGAATCTAGAGGCTTCGTGGTCAAGCAGAAATCTACGTCGACTCTGTGCCTCTGGTGATAGTGTGTTTTTGCTGCTGTGTTTGACACGGCTGCGTCCTAAGCCGTTAAGCATTCCGATTCGCTCAATGCAGGCTGCCCAGGTGGGGCCCATCCCTCACATTTCCACGGCGGAAATCGCGGTGAAGGGGGAGGTGAGGTGTGGGGTGATCGGTGATGCGCCTGGACCCTTCTTGAACCAGCGGGTTGGGACGCCTAACGGTTGCCTGCGGGAAGTCATTTTGAACATGCGTACTAGTGGCATGCTGCGCCCTACCCTTGCATATGCTATAGTCGGGCGGCTAACGCCGCTGATCGCTTCATCTAGAATTGCTTATCGAAGGTGAGACCAGGAGATAAACCTCGCCATGAGCCTGGGGCAGAGGTGCAACATTTGTTAGGCAAAGTTTATAACTGCTCCACATAAAGATTTGTTTCACTAACATGTCTAACCCAACGTTCCGCATACAATCCATGTAAGGTTTTATCGATATCTAGCGCGGCGCCTCAAGCTGCCAGTGAACAAAGCTCGAGTCAGTTCTTTCTTGCGCAGGGGAAAGGTTTTCTTTAAAGCACTAGGGTCAACCATAACTGACACCGATACCTGAACTCTTAACTTTTATAATACTCACCTTGAGCCTAATTTTCCTTTGTTTTTGCTGGACTACTCTGCTCGTTCTTGTCCTACGATGCATCGAGCTCACATCGACCCGTCCACAGTCGTGGGCATCGTCTTCGGCGTCCTGTGCGTGACGTATGAGCTCAGAATTCATGTATCCCGTCCATGCTGGAGGAAGCCATAAGGCATTCGAAGGGAGTTTATGCCAGTGAGGTGACCTCAGTTGGTTTCAGCAGACAACAGAAGCCCCGGGAGTAATGACGAATCCAAAAGTATGCTGCTTGGACATGGATCCATTTGCAGAGCAGGCGGCTCCTCGACTAAGACTTTAGTGAGTGACCAGCTATATAAGCAGCTGACCGACTCCTAAATGAAAGCCAGGTATCAGCAAAGCTCCCTACTACCCTCCACATTAGTGTATGCTGTGAGAATTGGGTGCCTACGTCTTTACCTTTACCCTTCTCATCGCTATCGTTTTCCACATGCCATTTCCCTTTAGATTGCTTTGCGGCCTCCTCGAGAGGCTCGAGAGGAATGCCAGGAGGTCATCGAGCATCGACACGATCCAGGAACGTGACACCATTCTTGTCTGGCTCAACACCCCGCAGTCATTCCACGGCGAGGCCCAGAAGCCGTTGCATTCTTGTCAAGATACTAATATTACCGGCGTAATCTTTCTTATTCCACTTCTAAATTAAAGAGTGTATAAAAGGAGTCCTTAGGGTTTGTAAGTATAAGGGGATTAGGAGTGAGTAAAGAAACTGATAGTGATATCCGGTTTTAGGCTCCAGTTGAATTTAGAGAAGGAGATTGGCTGTGCTAAGTTGACTCGCGATAGTCTCGGCATGGACATCGGCTCAAATGCAACAGACAGTCTCATGGACTTCGGTCTCTAGTCGAGTCTGTATAGCACCATAGACAACGGCAGCAGGAAGCAACACTTAAAGCACTTCTAACCTCTCTCTATAATTACCCTCAGGTGTTTGCCGGTAAACACGATCGATATGCTCGGCTCGGCACTAAGAACATGCCGGCCGAGCACTGTTGCACTATGCAAACCATTTAGCCCACGTTTAAATGGACCTCTAAGAGAAGGGCTACTTCCCAAGGTTAGGGTTTAAAGAGACTGGGTTTGGTAGTGGCGTATCTTGATTTTCCGTTGTCGACACGACCCGCAAGCTGAAGATATATAAACTCTTTAGTCCCTTCTTCATACTAAGGGAGCTGTTCGATGCTTGGCATGGGTCCCTACCGGATGAGGGCGCGGAACTGGGAGTAATGGGCAGAGATTAACCCCCTGGCTTGACTCGCGTGTTGACGAGGTCGAGGAATCTGAGAAACTAAAGGTTCTATTGACCATCATATTCGATATTCTCAGTAACGGTTATAAGATTTATTATATGTAAGGCTGCAGCCTTCAGCTATTTAAGTGAAATAGTAAATTAGCCTCCTAGCTAGACCCTGACAGAGCCTGCAGCGATTGTTTCACCATGAAGAATGATGTCATAGTGGTCAAAGGATGATACTCTGCACATGATTTTACACGCTGTCAGCATAACAACCTGTCGGCAATACATCTGCCTGTAGATGAAGCTAATCCTACTGTTAAATGAGTAACCTGCTAGCATTACAACCTGCTGGATGGTAATTTGTTGGCATTATAAATCTTTGAGGGGCGGTTCTGTCCCGATGCGTCGGCAGTAAGCCGCCCTGAACCCCGAGGAATGAGTCGAAGCGGGGCGAGGTATAGTAAAGACTGCCAGCCATTGCTGACGTCTCCCGATTGCCGGAGTAGGAGCAGGCTGCTTCAGTCCAGCTTACTTCAGCCCACGCAGTAAGTTCTCAGATGCCCACTTAATAACATGCTCCTTTCGAGATGGTGGCTGCCAATGAACACAAATAATTTTTCGAGCATTTGCTGCACCCATATTTCGCCAAAGCTGTCTCGATCGTCCCCAGGGCAGACGGTACGGTTACAAGCCTAAACCCCTGATCATCGTTCAGCCGTCCTCCGTCACCACGTCCGTGCTTTGTCTGTAATAGGCAGTGATGCACTAAATCAGGCCATGGTTGCATTAACCGACCCAGTAGGTTGGCCTGGACCCCATTGATCGGCAAGGTGACACAGAACACGATCCAATGATCAGCTAGTATTACGAAACCCTTGAGTTTGCATAGGGTAGTCAAAAGGTAGTGGCGCAAAGGCGGTACCACTTTGTACCACGTCTTCTGGGTTAGTGGATATGCCATATCTCTTGTTGGGGCATGTCGAGAAAGAGACATTCGGATACATCATCATGCGAATTATCATGCGAGCATTTCTAACGCCATTATTTTCAGCGCAGCCTGAGTTGAGGGAGGTGTTAAGGGCGTTCCAATACTACCACGGACTTAAGTCCAAGTTGGGTTTCAGCTGTTGATGCATGTCGGTCTCGGGACAACGACGAAAACTTCCTCAAGAAAAGCTCAGTGCTTCTCGTGGCTGTCCTAAGCTGTGGTCTGGTGAATGCTAGTTAAGTCCTCCATATATACCGGTATCTGCAGCACCTTTTCGTTGCTGTCTAGCTTCTTGTATCCCTTCTCAACTGCCTCAACGCGGTTAAAGATGGGGAGTAGCGAGTCCTGCAAAGCTTTCGCATGCCTATATCCACAGCAACAAACGTTAGTGAGCAGTTCCCGCGAGGGAGGTCCTCAGGCACCTCTTAACATGCATAGGGAGATTCAACCTTGACCTGACGCAGTGGGACTGCAATGACCTTGGCTTTTGGATGCCTCAGCTGTCAGGCATCAACAGCCGCGACAGGGGTCCAGATTACCGCTGCTTCAGTTAGACGACTGGGATCCTGACGGCGCATATGACGAATCTCCTACATGCATCCATTACTCAATCGAGTGGAAGCTGGAGCTGCGCAACAGTCGGTACCTGGCTTTAGTTTTACGGACGGTTCGAGGGTCGCAGGGAATGGCCTGGGCTATTTGTTTAGTTGTTGCACCACTGTGGATCATGGCCTTCATCATCTCATGGCCAGCATCAGATAGTCGGGGCGCCATTTTGGGCCACCAAGCTGAGGCTTATTCTGGAAGTTGACAGTTGTCATTATCAGGCGCAATTAGCAGCCTCTGCAAGCATTTTGGCGCGTCAGCAATTTTAGTGCACAATCCTATTTCTGACATTTCACGTTGCGCACTGTAAAAGCCACATCTGTTGGAGATCACAAATGTGAGACGACCAAGTCGGTGGCAAGGTGTGAAACAAGGTGGAACATTCCACGGAGGTGGTGCCTGTACATAAACAGTAGTTCTCCTACTGCATATTTTGAATGAATTAAGAAACCTGAATCTTCCCATTTCAACAGGTTATGAGCCCGGAAGGCTAAACTAAATCTAAAGCTGAGTCTCCTACCTAATCATCCGTCCCTTACTCACAAGGACCTCACAGTCCCTTCCACTGCAGCGGAGACTCAACAGCGGTCTTGGACCCCGCCAGAATTACGACCCTTCATCCTGCTGTCTCTTGAACGAAGAACCCGCTACTTGATCATTTACCAATCTCGATACTTTCTTCCCTTATTACACAGCCAGATGGAAATGACCTGCAGAAAATCTCTGATTTTTCTATCTTGGCTGTTGTGTTGAACTTGCTTTTTGGGAAACATAGATGACACCAACCTCTGACTGGAAGTCCGGACTTCCGGGCTGCCGGTCTAAACAGCCTGTCTGAAAAAAAAAACTAAAAAAAACTGGAAGACCTTCCTTCCGGTTTGATCAAATTGGCCCCCACAAAAAGGACAGATTTAACCAATCAACTGATCAGCGGACGCAACAACAATCAAGCACGCTGCTATGGTCGCTGCCTTCAAGGAGCAGAAACGCCTGAACGATAAGCGATTCAGGAGAAAGCAGCGCCAAGATCATCCAAGAACCAACAACCGAACCAGAAACGCGGACGAGGACGAAGTTACAAATGCTCTTGCCATCCATGCCGAACCCGTCATACAGCTGATGGCATACCAGGGTCAAAGGTTGAGCGATTTACTCGAGAAAGTACACGTGTTGGATAGCGGAGCTTCGATGCACACCTTTTGCAAAAGGGCAAACTTCAGCACCCTTCACCCCTGGAGCGGCGGACAGACAGTTGGAATCGGCGAAACACAAATCACCCCTCAGGGTCTGGGAAACTATATCCTGCGGCTGAAAGGGCTTGACGGTCCGCGACACCTGGCGCTCGACAACTCAGTATACTCCCCTGAAGGGCGTGTCAACCTTGTTTCGATATCTGCTTTAACAAGGAAGGGGGCAAAAATCTCTTTCGGCGACAACCAAGCCAGGGTGGCATACGACAATCGAGTAATCCTGACAGCCACTGTACGATCAGGGATCTATGTTGTGGACCAACCAGACGAAGCGATCAACGCAGCCTTGGCGTCACTTGTTATCAGCGACCCCGAACTTCAAATATGGCACGAAAGACTTGGACATCTAAGCGAGAGCGGAATCAAGGCACTGAGGGGGATGGCACACGGCATTCACCCCATTCTACGCGGACAAAATTGCGAACCTTGCATAGCTGGAAAACAGAAAGAGAGACCACACCGAAAGTCAATCCGGAAAGGGACGTATCCGCTAGAATGCGTCCATGCAGACATTGCAGGACCATTTTCAGACACAGCATATGACGGCTCGCGATATTGGGTTGTCTTCGTGGACGATTTTACCCGCATGGGCTGGGCATACGCAGTCAAGGAAAAGTCCGAGTTCACAAGGCGTTTCAAACATCTCCTCGATACATACGAGAGGCCGGAACGTCGATGCCATTACCTCCACGTCGACCAGGGTGGCGAAAACCGCAGCGACCAGCTATGTACCCTCTGCGATAACAAGGGCATCACAATTTATTATACCGCGACCGATCAGCATGAGCAGAATGGGATTGCGGAGGCCTTTAATCGTGTGCTTCAAGAAAAGGTTACACCCACACTCGAGCGATCGAACCTGCCGCGAAAGCTCTGGCCCTATATCCTCTACGCGGCCGTGTATATACGGAATAGAAGCCCTAACAAGGCCCTGAACAAGACGCCCTATGAGGCGTGGTTCGGAGACAAGCCAGACCTCTCTCATCTCCGCGTTATTGGTGCAAATGGATGGGCCATATTGCCATCCGCCAAGAGACAAAAGCTACGTGCAAAAACGATTCAGTGTCGACTTCTTGGATATCAAGGCTCCAGTAACTACATTGTTGTAGACAACAATAGCCGAGTCTTCATCGCCAACAATGTCATCTTCGACGAATCCAGCTTTCACGAGGCAACAGGAACACCTACTGGATCAAAGAGAACGAGAAGCGAGGGACCTACCTTGTATCCAGAGCCAGAACCTTCACCCAAGAAAGCAGCTCCGCCACGACACGATGCCATCCCACAGGTTGAAGAGATCATATCGGAGAATGAAACAGACACTATTCATGTCCGAACATCCGAGCCTCGCCATGATTCGACCGGGGCGACAGGCCAGGACGAAGAGCTCCGAGTCTCACAGAGATTAACCAAAGCAAAACTTCCCTCGAGGTACCTGCTCCTAGGAACCAATACTCTCACTAACCTCATGTGCGTCCACGTTAATCTTGCGGCTTCTCTGGAAGACGAGGCGGAGCCCGAACGATAAAAGAAGCCCGAGGTTCTCTTCAGTGGGAGAACTGGTTCAAGGGAATGACCGCCGAGATAGACTCCATTAAGGAGAACGGAGTCTACACCTTGGCAAATCTGCCACCGGACCGAAAGGCACTAAGGGGCAAGTGGGTATTCAAACTCAAAAGGGGAGCTAATGAAGAAATCCTGCGGTTCAAAGCACGCTACATGGTCCGAGGCTTCGAGCAACAGGAAGGAATCGACTACAACGAGACGTTTGCCTCAGTCGTCAAGCCTATGACTTACAAGGCAATCTTCGCTATAGCCGCAACGCTTGACCTTGAGCTCGGACAAATGGATGTCAAAACCGCCTTTCTCTATGGGAAAATCGACGAGGAGATCTACGTTGAGCAACCAGAGGGCTTCGATGACGGAACCGAAAGAGTCTGGAAACTGCGAAAAGCCTTATACGGGCTGAAGCAATCACCTAGAATATGGTACCAGACTCTCTCTTTATTCCTCTAAGAGCAGGGATTCCAGCCTCTCGTTTCCGACATGGGTGTCTTCATCAATGGCCAAACCTACATTGCCGGTTACGTGGACGACCTGCTCATCGCAGGACCATCAAAAAGTGACATCGAGATGATAAAACAAAACCTCAACCAACGGTTCAGCATGACAGACCTGGGGCCTTGTCACTTCTACCTAGGGATGTCCATTACTCGGAACCGCAGACAGCGGAGACTGAGCCTCTCGCAAAAGGGGTACATTGAGAAAGTCCTGAAGGAATTCGGACTATGGGACTCCAAACCGACTGCGACCCCAGTGGCAACAGCGAAGTTAGAGCCCGCCCTTGACGATGAAGACACTCACTCAGATCGCAAGCACTGGTACGCTAAAGCAATCGGATGTCTGATGTACGCAATGCTAGGGACCAGACCAGACATTGCATTCGGCGTCTCCCTATGCAGCCGCTATCTCGCAAATCCCACTAAGGCCCAGGAAGCCGCAGTGAAGCGCATAATGAGGTACCTACGAGGAACCTGCGACTTCAAGCTCGAGTTCCGAGGGGATATTCGCCCGTTGACGGGCTACACGGACTCGGACTGGGCCGGAGACACTGAGACTAGAAGGTCCACTGCGGGATACATCTTCAACGTTGGCAGCGGTGCGATAAGCTGGGCCGCAAAGCGACAGCAATCAGTGGCGCTGTCTACCTGTGAAGCTGAATACATGGGGCAGACACAGGCAACCAAGGAAGCCATCTGGTTGCGAACCTTGCTAAAAGAACTACTGGGAGGTCTAAACGCCACAGACCAAATCGCTGCCACAATTATCTACGGAGACAACCAAGGGGCAATTGCAATGACTAAGAACCCCCAATACCACTCCCGCACAAAGCACATTGCGATTCAGGAGCACTTTGTGCGAGAAAAGACGGCCAGCGGAGAAGTTGAGATGAACTATATCCCGACCGACAAACAAGTGGCTGATGGACTCACAAAAGCACTTCCCAAGGATCGTTTTCAGTTGTTCCGGAAGGCTCTGGGAGTTGTCGGACCGGATGAGTAAAACTATTTGGGCCAGAAAGGGGATCCACGCTACGAAGCTGTGCGATCTCTGGAACACATTCAACAGATGTTACCCCTAGCCCACTGCGCGAGGATCCAGTGGGAGTCTACCGCCCGATTATCACATACAATGGCAGCTTGTCCAACTCACTCCAACTACCGCTAGAAGGTCAACAGTGACCTGGCCGCATGGGTTGCAATTCCTGACCAGACCAAGACTCCTAAAGATCTGGCAAAAGACGACTCGAAGGCTATGGGGGCTGTATTCAGCGGACCAAAGCCGGGAAGGAAAGCTGCATGGGTTGCAAGTCCCGAACTGGGCCATGGAACCTTGGTACTGCGAGCAGCCGCAGTTATCGCAACGAGCATCAAGGACCAGAGGCTGCTAACACGGCCGATAGCGCTGCTAACACGGCGTGATAGACCCGGCAAAAGAAGATTTAAAGTCGCATGGGTTGCAAGTCCCGAACTGGCCATGGAACCTTAGTACTGCTAGCAGCCGCAGTATTGCCAACGAGCACTAAGGACAGGAGGCTGCTAACACGGCCGAGTGCGCTGCTAACACGGCGTAATGGATCCGGCAAAAGATGAAGTCAAAGGCTCGGGGGCTGTATTCAGTGGACTGAGGCCGGGAAGTATGAGAAGCGCATACAGCGCTCATCGAGGATGACACAGATATGGGCTGCAGTGGGATTCTTGTCATATCTAAGACAATATTCCCTACGTGCCCAGGACTGTGCCGAGCCTTGACGGGTTCAGCAACACTCTTTCCTCTTTCACCCACGAAGGTGTTTTAAGGTTTTAATGAGGTTGCTGAGATCTTAGATAAGTCCAGGTACCCACCGTCTTGCTCGAGTGGGAGTGTTGGAGATCACAAATGTGAGACGACCAAGTCGGTGGCAAGGTGTGAAACAAGGTGGAACATTCCACGGAGGTGGTGCCTGTACATAAACAGTAGTTCTCCTACTGCATATTTTGAATGAATTAAGAAACCTGAATCTTCCCATTTCAACAACATCAGCCACGACCTGGTCTGTGATTTAGAAACTTTACTTCGAAAGCCAGGGCGGCCTCTGATTTCGGCTGGGGC